AGGATGGTCTCGATCTCGCGACCTCGTGATCCACCCGCCTCGGCCTCCCAAAGTGCTGGGATTACAGGCTTGAGCCACCGTGCCCGGCCGATTTTTCATTCTTTAGTTCACTGCTATGGCCTCAGAACTTAAACAGTACCTGGCATGGTAGGAGATGAATAAATGCAGAATGAATGACAGACCTTTCCTAGCACTGCCCAGCTCCTGCAGACTGAACATAGGACACGTTGCATAGCACAGAATGTATCCCTCTACCTCTGTAACACTGATAATGACAGCCAACGTTTCCTGAGAGCTTACTACACGCTAGGCACTGTTCTGAATGCTTTACGACTGCTTATTTCCTTAGCTCTTCACAACAAATCCTTTGACACAGGTGCTGTTTTACCAATGGGAAGTGGAGGCACCACGGTCCAAGGTGACCCAGCTACGAAAGAGAAGAGCCAGGCTTCAAACCCAGGCAGTCTGGCTCCAGGATCTGGCTCAGACCAACACACACAGAGAAAAATGGCTGTCCTTGTTCTGCCACATCTCAGAGACCTCATTTGGTTGCTTGAACTTGTCTGACTTTAGTCAAATATAGAAACATGAAACTTGGCAAGAAAGTCTCTGTTGACTTTTTTTTTTAAAGTCTAGCTGCCTAATTTATTAAGAACAATGCAGAGTTTTCTGGGTCCAGGGAAATTCACCACAGGATACTTCCAAATTGCCCTGTGGTGATCAGAGCCTGGTCTTCCCTTGGCTTGCAGTATCTCACCCTTCAGAGCTGTCCAAAAGACATTCGAGGTGTTAGAGGAAGGTGTGAGTAACAGGTCCAAATAGGTCCAGGGAAAAACGTCCACAGAGGCAACTGAGGAGCAGACCGGATCCCGCCACCGCGTGGCTGGAAGGTCACTGTCACAGAAATGGAAGGCCACTGTCACAGAAATGGAAGGTCACTGTCACAGAAATGGAAGGGCAACAACAGTAGTTTCTGGCCACTGACCACTGACCACTGACCACACTGCAGGCCAACCACATTAAGTTCCCACCGCGCGTCTAACTCATTTAATCTCCACAGGGTCTCTGTGAGGTAGGAATTATTATTTCTGCTTTACAGATGAGGGGACCATATTCAGAAAGGCTAAGAAACACGACTAGGGTCACACAGCTGGTAGTTGTTAGAGCCAAGATTCGAATCCATCTCTATCTGGCTCCAAAACCTGTGTTCTTGTCACCAGCCCACTGCCCTCTCCGCATGTGCTGTGAAATCCTTCCAGTGCCTGCAAAGAAATGTACAGTGAAACCTCCAAATGGAAGCTTATTTTTTTTAGTTTATATACCTCCCACTCAAGATAAATAGCAACAAACTCTCCAAAGTAAAAAAGAAGGAGGGGAAAATGGCTAAAATCTGGTACTCTGATCACAAGCCCATCTGGGATCTTTTAGATGCTGAAAATTCCGGAAGGCTGGATAGTCAAGTTGCAGCTTAGAAGCTGCAATTCAGAAATCTTTATCGAAGTAGCAGTTTACTTCCCCTCCAGGACTCTACTGGTATAACAGTTGAGAGACGAGAGTGCCTATTAGAGGAGAAAACGCCGAGAAGCAAGTGATGCTACTCTATCAGGAACGCGGGAACAAACTCAGATGATCCACAGGGGTGGCGTGTGTGTGGGGAGGTGGCCCAGATGAAACAAGGAAGCGTTGAAACTGAATGATGGACACGTGGAGCTCACTGTGCCCATCTATCTGCTTCTGTGTGTGTTTGAAAATTTCACACACATACACAAAGCCATGACCCTCCAAGTAGATGGCATCCTCAGATGTTCGTGGCCTGGGTTCCCACACAGCACCCTTGTAGGGAGAGGTCAAGGCTGTAACCAGGTGGTTCCTCCACCCCGCCCTGGTCTGTTCCCTGCTGATCCTTCAGCAAAGGTCTCAGCATGGTCCCACAGTCAAAACAATGCAGCAAATTCTGCTTTTATAGAAGACCTTCCGTAAGTGGTTGAAACTATCGTTTTTCAGAATCAGGAAGGAACATTCAAAAGACTGCTAAACTCTCAAACTAGAACAAGACAAAAAACAGGCTGAATCAGCATGCGACTGGAGCCCGCTTGGTGAGTTGACTCTGAGGTTACTTGTGAGGATGATGTCACTCTGTGGAATACGGAAACTGGCACCATCCCCAGAGTCGGCGTGCGGCCGTGCTGGGAGGGAGCCGGCTTCTTAGTGCTGAGTAAAGGACAAACCCCAAGCAGCTATTTCAGACTGTGGCAGGACACAGCCTTGTTCCTTTAACACCTTAAAGGACAAATGGAAAGACTAGCCAAGCCACCTGTCTGAGAAGTCGGAGAGAAGAGATATTAAAAACAATCTCGGTTATGATGAGACAGCTTTGTCTGATTCACACAAAGGCAGAAAAACAGGTGTGCTGCATCCTTCAGGAAGCAAGTTTAGAAACCAGGTCTGCAAGTCACAGGATGTGACCAGTCTGCAAATCCTACAGGCTGTACAAGGCTGGCAAGTCAAGGTCATCCACGGGGGCTGGCCCGGCTGCTTCGAGAATGTTGCCCATGACAGGTGGGTCACAGCCTCACAGAGCATTCCTGTGTCCCATAACCACAGCTGTCATCCCTAGCTCTGGTTGTCCATTTTTGAAGCATATAACAAAGACCACAAGCTCAAGGAGGTGGGCGGAAAACAGAGTGTGAGGCAGTCCCACAGCTCCATCACCACTGTTCAAAACGCAGCCCAGAGCGCCTTCCAAGGCCTTTCTGTTCCACTGAGAATAGAATTCAAATTTCCACAAAAGATCTCAGGGTGCAACAGGACCACCTGGCCTCTGCTCGTCTCTGACCCCTCATTTCCTCCTGGCCCACCTGCTCTGGCAAAGTTCCTTGAACTCACCAAGCTCATTCCTGCTTTAAGACCTCTGCACCCGCCTTGATGCTATTCCCCAGGTCTTTGTGTGATTACACAGATCTCAGATCAAAGGTCACCTTCTCAGGCCTCTAGCCAAAGCAGCACCCCCAGTCACTTTCTATTATAGCTTGTTTTCTTTTTTATATCACTTGCTACTATCTGATTAATTTGATTGCTTTTTAATGAATTGTCTCTGTCCAGTAGAATGTAAGCTCCATAAGGGCAGAGTCTGGACTCTCTGGTTCACCACTGCATCCACACAACCATATATATATATGTTATCCACACAACCTAGGATAATACACACACACACACACACATCCTTCATATATATATGCTTTCATAGATATATGAAGGCATTTTTATTGAGGTACTTTTTAAAATAAATGAATAAACATATATAGTATTTATATTCAGTAAAAAATTCTTTAGAAAAAACTAAAATTATAAGATTGGGGCTGTCCTGGAGAATCTAAGACACACAGTCATCATGTATATGAAACTCAACTTTTGCATCATTTGATAAATGTTCCTGACATCTCGTATGTCTTGAGCACTAGTTTATCTGTCAAACTATCACTGGTAAGAGAGTGCTCACCAGGGAGGGATGGGATTCTTGAGTGGGGATCTGGATATGCAGGTGGGTTCGTGTGTTCATGCATGTGCACAAGCACCCCCAGCTCAGAATCCACAACCCACAGCTCTTAGTCAGTGCGGCCTTTGTATACTTTGTGTTGTAGCCTTTAGGGGTGTGTGTCTCCAACTGTAATATACAAGTCAGTCTCCTGGGGATCTTCTTAAAATGCAGATTCCAATTCCAGGGTGGGGTCTGAGATTTCATATTTCTAATTAGCGCTCACTCAGGTGACATCTGTGCGCTGGCCAGAGGCTCACACTTTGAGAAGCAAATCTCTAGTACTGCAAAATTGCCATCTAAGAAACATGCCTTGAGATCAGCTAAGGAAGGAAGTGCTAATCATAGGGGACTTGGTGCCCAAGACACAAAAATATAGAGAATCTAATTTTAAACAAGCAGAAAGGCACTTCTCTGGAAAAAGATGACTCAGTTTTCTTCTTCTTCTTCTTTTTTTTAAACTTTTATTTTTTTTGAGATGGAGTCTTGCTCTGTCACCCAGCTGGAGTGCAGTAGCACGATCTCGGCTCACTGCAACCTCTGTTGCCCGGGTTCAAGTGATTCTCCTGCGTCAGCCTCTTGAGTAGCTGGGAGTACAGGCATGTGCCACCACATCTAGCTAAGTTTTTTGTATTTGGCAGGGATGGGGTTTCATCGTGTTGGCCAGGATGGTCTCGATCTCCTGACCTCATGATCCTCCCGTCTCAGCCTCCCAAAGTGCTAGGATTACAGGAGTGAACCACCACACCTGGCCAGTTTTCTTCATTTGTAATACACCAAATTCGTGCTTAAAATGGAATCATTTCTAAATGCTGACGTGTGTGCAGTTCTGGGGCACTGTTTGATTCCAGTGTGGGAATTGTAAAGTACATATTCTTTTATAAGTTCCATATTTACAACACTTGGGACATGAGAAAGGAGAGAGCCTGGCCAATTCTGTATAGCAATGGAACTCATGTGGACCAGTTTCCCCCATTTCACCAACTTGCTCCAGGTACAAAACCAGTTGTATTTTTTCCGGTTTCCCCTTTGAAAGTTTCCCATCCTTACTCCCAGCCCCACAGCCCCCAGTCCCCTAGTCCAGGCTCCAGGGACGAGCTCAAGCCGATTGGTGAGACTCTGAGTTAAATGTTCTGGTGAGTGATGAGCCTGTTGGGACCTTCTCCCCCTCGGCTGCTGACCATGTGAGAGGGCAGGGCTGTCCAGAGTCCTCAGCCCACCTGAGCATCCAGCCGCAACTGTACGCTCTGGTGGCTTTGACAGAACTCTGTGCTGCCCGTATTATTCATGGCAGTTGTTAATGTGCGTCTCTCCATGGGATCCTGGGGGGAGAATGGGGTGACTGAAGGGCAGGACTGCGTACTCCTGTGTCCTTTAGTAAGCGTCTGATAGTGATGGCTGGACACGATCCATCATCGTCCACAGCAGCCCCCTTCCCAGTACACGAAAATGTCAGAAAGCAAACCTGGCTTTTCTCCTCCAGTTTTCTGTGTTCCTTAAGAAGTTGCTCCACGTGCATCACGCTGTCTCCAATGCCTGTAAACTCTGCTTGCTCTTCCAGCAAATTATCCAGGGCAAGCTTAGCCTACGAGACACATTAGAACAGTCCAGAAGTAAACCAACACATACTCACTTGGAGGCATGGGTTGTTACGTTTCGAGAAAACACAAAGCTCCAGAAAGGATTCACGACTTGTATATATCTATGTATGTTTAAAAAGTTTTTTTGCAGCTCACTAACTTCCAAATTAAGCTGGGGGTGCAGACACCTATAGCTGGTTTATTAGAACTATATTCAACAGATTATCAATCAAAAAGGAAGACAACTGGGCCCAGTGGCTCATGCCTGCAATCCCAGCACTTTGGGAGGCGAGGTAGGAGGACTGCTTGTACTCAGATGTTTGAGAACAGCCTGGGGAACATGGGAGACCTCGTCTCTGCAAAAATGTAAAAAGAATGATCTGGTGTGGTGGTGGGGCATGCATGTAGCTCCAGCTACTTGGGAGGCTGAGGTGGGAGGATCGCTTGAGCCCAGAAGATCAAAGCTGCAGAAGGCCATGATTGCATCACTGCACTCCAGCCTGAGTGACAGAGCAAGACCTTGTTTCAAAAAAAAAAAAAAAAAAAAAAGCAAGATAAACTGCCACTGAAATGCCATGTACATCCACAGGAAAATAGGATTCTAGAACACCACTGCTCCGCTGAAAAAGTGAGAAGGGGGCTGAAGGAGCGGTCTGTGAAGAAGCAAGGAGATGAGGAAAAAGCCGGATTAGGGAAAAGAGGGAACTCCCATACCAAAGAGGGAAGGCGCAGAGAAAACCCGAGGTCACCGAACCAGAAAAGGAAGTGATGTTAAATGAGAGAAGAATACCTTACAGAAGTCGCGCTCAAAATGCTGCAGCTGCAGGCACTGGGTGAGCTTCAGATGATGCTCAGACCAAAACTGACTGAAGGCTTTTTCTGTTTCATCCAGTTGAACTAGTAACCTTTCAAGAAAGAAGGAGAGAGTGACGGCACGTTAGCACTCATTTCCACCGGTATCCTTACAGCCCTACGGGGAGGAACCTGCGTCTTCAGTCAGCGTCACCAGCTGCGATCGTCTCCTTACTATGAACATGTGTGTCACCTATGCCTCTCTTTGGGCTCGGCAGGGTTTCCACCTTTCATTTCCCAGTCAGGACACCCACAGCACAGGCAGCAACTTCCCTTCAGATGCAGCTGCTGTGCTCCAGAATCCGCTCCTGTGATCCCTTCCTGCCTTCGTTCTTTCTACCTGCACCAGGCCAAACTGTAATTTGGAAATGACGCCCAATGCATACTACCATCTCCCTCCAAATCCCAGGATGGGAGCCTGCCACATGCATTGAAGAGCGGGGAATGGAGCTCTCATTAAAAGATCTCTGTACGTGGATGCCAGAGGAACACAGCTCTTCTCTTTTGCTGTCTAAAATATTTTTCCTCTTCCTTGACTGACCAAGACCCAGTATTGGCTGTTCCATTCTGTTCTTGGTTGCTCTAGAATATCTAGGTCTATATATTCTCTCCTGAAAAGGCAGATCCCACCTCACGCACTCACCTTTCCATGGCAGCTACATTCTCAAGTTGATTGAGATTGAGTTTGCTGTTGGGATATTTGGTAGCTGGTTCTTGGATGCATGACAGCAGTGTGGCCCCCTGCTTCCCAAGTAATTTCAGCTCATCCTGGAGAATAAAAGTAGTCTCTCTCAGAAAGAATTAGGAAAAACAATTTCTTGGTAGAACTGGGGTGAAGAGAATAGATCAGTATATTTTTCATTTAGGAAATTAAATGCTGATGAAGTCAAGATGCAGTTTTAAAATTAATCAATTAATTTATCCTTGATCAGTAATGTACCACACAATACAAAATTCCAAATATCCAAAAGCCTATACATCAAAAAATGTACTTTTTCTCTTCAAAAGCCACATCTGCTTTTTTTTTGTATAGCTCAAGCTATTGTTGTAAATTAAAAGCTAAACTAGTTAATACAATCTGGTTTTAATCTAAGAGAGTGACCAGAAACAAGAAAATGATAGATATTGAATACTGAATGCTAGAAACTACCAAGCAATAATAACATAACTGCTAGTTGACCATAAAAATACTTCAGTTGGTCTCATCAATAAACACCTGCTTCCCCTTCCACCTGCCAACCAGCTGTGGCTTTGTTTAATTATTGAAGTTTGGCAGATATGGGCAGCAGTTTCAGTTCAATGTGGAAAGACTTGTACTTCCAAGCCAACTCCATGCTGCTCTTTGAAAACAGAGCCTCAGTGCTGTGCAGCTGGGGAAGGCTACTTCCTTCCAGAGCCAACAGCTGTAGCCCTTTCCTTGGACAGTGCAGGTCACCTCTCATTGCCCTGAGCCTTACCCACAAAGCCCAGGGTGCATGACAAAAGTGGCAGTGCTCGACCTAGAATTCTGTGCTTGGGAATTATGGGTTCGGTTCCCAGGTCAGAGGAGGCCGGTTTGGTATGCCCTTGAGCATTACAATAGGCACACAGCTCTGAAACACCAAAAGATCACCTCTGCTCACATGAACACGGAATCACTTCCGCTAGGCCCAGCCACCTGTGTGGTCTCCACACAGCCTAGAGCTCATTCCCTGTGGGAAGAGTTTCACACTAACCCACTCCAATCACAGGGAAGTCCCGTGCCCTCTCAAGCTCGTATCTTCGTTCCTGTGTCCCATTCTACTCCACAATTTCCCCTGGAGGGGTTACACTGCCTGCCCATCCTCAAACCTGGCCCTGGATCTGGCTGATGCTGGACTTGGCTTCTCTGAGCTAGCCCTTCAGGGTTCTTTGGAAACCTCCTCTGGCCCTGTCCACTCCAAACAGTGGCCCACATTAGCCACGTGGCTGGTGCTCTTGCCTGGGAATCAGGCGTATCTCTTCTTTTCCATTCTCATGTGTCAGGCCTCATTTCTTATCTCATTAATGCTCATTAAATATTTGTAGGTTGGATAAATTAATAACAGCCTAAAAGAAGTCAGGTTGCAAATGAATACAAATTAGATGTGATGGAAAAAGTGTCCTCCTGAGTCAGTGTCTTAGCCATTCCCTCAGCCCACCCACTAAAGGCGGTCTTGGCTTTTCCCACTCATTTTCTCAACTGCTGCTGAGCTTCCAGCAGGATTCTGGCATTGTCCATATCCATATATATGAATGTACACACACACACACACACACACACACACACACCCACACACCCATACGTGATGGAGAGTTGGGAAGAAAGGTAGAGAGGCTAAAGGAGAAGCGCCATATTGGCATGGCAGAAGGAGACACTGAAGGGGGTAGCTGGGAAGAGGGATGTACCCAAAGTGTGGCAGAGCCCGAGGAAAGGGTGTGAGGCAGGAAAGGTGAATCTTCACCCGTGATGTCACATGCCGCATATCCCCTTCACGCTGTTTAAAAAGGCTACGAGTGGGAATCGTGACCCGGTTACTGCTCTGGTATTCAGCCAACATGGCCAACTTGAGTAGGGTTACAAAAGTCTTCCCTGAACTCAGAGGGAAAGACGGAGCAAGCATGGTACTTGAAAAGGGGAAGGGGAAGTTGCTCAGCCTTAACACGGAGCTTCGGTTTCCATGGGAAGAAAATAATCTTTCCGGGTATTTAATTTTGGTACTACCTGCACTGCTGGAGGGGGAATGCAGGGTGCTGTCTTCCAGAACACGTGTTTCAGTCGATGCTCCCTTTCGGAGAGTCTCCTTTCTCTGTGCAGACAGGGTCCCGCTGGTCAGGGTGAGGACGCTTGTAAACTGGGAGACGGCTCACTGCCTTCCAAAGTTGCCTTTCCTCAGAAAACCGGAACCCCACCACAACCTCGGTCAGGATCCAGCTGGCAGAAGAGGTCGTGGTGCCTGTGCACACGTGCTCTGAGCACTCCCGACACATGGAAAGGCACACAGCAGGATGACAGCTAGCTGAGTCCTGTCTGCTTGCCTCATTCATCCGGGGCCACGCTCTCCCGGGGAAGGCTAGAGCTGCTTGGGTTTACCAGACTTGCTTGTCCTTTCTGCCCCTCAGATGAGAGTGAAATCACAGAGAAAACGAGGTTTCAAATGTTAGCAGGAAGCCCGAGTAACCACAATTTGACTGGACAGAAGATAACACCTCCTGAAGTCAGGAGCACTCTCTGGTTGTAAGATACGTGAAGGCCCAAACCGTGGCTCCGGCTGGGGGAAAGTTTAGGTTTCCGGGGAAGAGCTTTCTTTAAAGTCATCAGTTTGCTTAAAAGTTTGATATGATTGTTCCACTGTGGATGTCTTGAGATTTTTTTCTGTGTGAGTAGACTGGCTTAATATACTGAAGGGCCGCATGAAAGAAGTTCTATTGGAATATTATTTTGAACAAAATAGTAACAACTCCCTAGAGAAATGGCAAGTGAGGCTGAGAACCTCTCCAACTTGATGGCTCTCCTACTGTTTGACTGTAGAGGCGACTACACGCATATTCCTAAGATAAGGGATCTCAAAGACCCCAGGAGAAAGGAGGTCAAGAAATCAAGCCAAATCCCCTAAGCAGTGCAAGCTGTTTAGGAAAAAACCCTCTCCAGGCTGGGAGAAAACGGCAAATCACGTGCTGCAACTTTTATAGATCCTTAAATAGATTTGAAAGTTCTCTGTACTGAACAAGGTACCTTATGATAGTTTTAAACTTTCCAGCTGAAAAAATAAATTATTCAATGACATATAGAATCTTTGATTAAATGCTAGGTAAAAGACCAGTAAGAGGAAAATAAAGTATATATAAATAACCACAAAAACTACTAAGTTATTAATACAAGTTTAAACAGTATCTCTTTTTTGCTAATATAAACCATTTCTCTCTTTAAGGCATTTTTGGATGAGAAAGAGGAAGAATGTAACTCTTGTTTAATGATTTTGGTGTTCTTGCTTTTAAGCTACAAGATAAGGAACAAAGAAATCAAATTTGTGTTAGTCCATAATCAGTAATCACAGAAAGGCCTTAAGAAATGCTCTGTTTTGTAGTTTTTTTTTTTTTTTTTTTTTTTTAAAGATGTAGTTTCGCTCTTGTTGCCCAGGCTGGAGTACAGTGGCATGATCTCGGCTCACTGCAACCTCTGCCTCCCAGGTTCAAGCCATTCTCCTGCCTCAGCCTCCTGAGCAGCTGGGATTATAGGCACCAGCCATCACATCTGGCTAATTTCTGTATTTTTAGTAGAGATGGGGTTTTACCATGTTGGCCAGGCTGGTCACAAACTCCTGACCTCAGGTGACCTATCCGCCTTGGCCTCCCAAAGTGCTGGGATTACAGGTGTGAGCCACCGCGCCCAGCCTGTATTACCTTTTAAAGGATGTTAATTAATATTTCTTGGTAAAATAAGGACGATAATATTTTTAAATCCAAATTCACTTAATATTCTTCATTGAGGTAAAGACTTGGACAAATTAAATTGCTTTGAGAATTCTGTCTGAAAATAATTTGAGGTCTTCACCATGATTTTAGGGCAGCATGGACTATAAATGCAAGCGTTTCTTTTACTAAAAGGCCAATTAAATGGACCTTCTAATTTCCTTTCACTTGTCTTACAGGTTGGATGGAGGTGTTTAACCAAATTAATGTAATTAGAGTATAAATGTCAAATAATACTTCTAACTGTGTGGCCTCCAAGGCTTCTCCACTCCTTAATCTGAGAGAAGTCTCAGCCTCCTTTGCTCAGAGCAGCCTGTTTTACTCCTGAGAGCACCTGGTTAGCATGTGTAAGGAAATCCTCTTACTCCATCTTCGAGGCTGGTTCTGTCCCACCTCCTTCCCTCTGCAGAACTCTGCCTATGTAGAGAAACTAGAGAACACCCACTCATCTGCCTTCCCTGTCCCTACTCCTCTGCCCTGCCCACCAGCACACACAGCAAGACCTGACTGGCTGGTTTTCACCTCCCCCGCCCAGTTATGTGTCCTTATCTAAAATCCAAACTTCGTAACCTTTCCTCCGGAGACCCTCCTGACTGAGCACCGTCATCGTCATCGCAGTGTTTCTGAGCTTCGACTTCTCCACGCCCTTCCTGGGCAGAGGCAAAGAGCGCACTGTGCTCAGGAGCCCTAGGCGCGGAGCTCCGTGTCACTGTCCTTGCCGCACCGGGCATCCTCCCATCACACCCGCTCACACCGGCGGGACACTCGGTCAGGGACCACCTTTCGGCCCGTGCCACCGCAAACTCCTTCCTTGCACGCTTCACAGAGGCACCCAGACCTGCTGTCTGTAACTCACACCTCCCGGGAATCGTGTGATGTGAACTCAGCCAGCAGGTTTGGAAAAGCAAAGGCCAAGGGTCTCGGAGGCATTTTCACGGAAAATTTTCAGGATGTCGTCCTTCCAGATATTTTGATTACTCATACTCACAGTAATCTTGGGAATCTATTTCTCTCTTTCTTTTTGTTTGTTTGTTTGTTTGAGATGGAGTCTCTCTCTGTTGCCCAGGACAGAGTGCAGTGGGGAAATCTCGGCTCACTGCAACTTCTGCCTCCCAGGTTCAAATGATTCTCTCACCTCAGCCTCCTGAGTAGCTGGGATTACAGGCACCTGCCATCATGCCCGGCAAATTTTTGTGTTTTTAGTAGAGACGGGGTTTCACCACGTTGGTCAGGCTGGTCCTGAACTCCTAACCTAAGGTGATCCACCTGCCTTGGCCTCCCAAAGTGCCAGGATTACAGGCATGAGCCACCATGCCTGGCCATCTCTTTTTTGAATAACAACCTCAAGCACTGAATTTAACACTGTTCCCTGGCACATGGAAACATTAATTTGCCTCAATTACTAGTCTCTGAGACCCTCCTAACTAGACTATGTGTTCCTTGAGGTTGCATTTTTGGTTTGCCTGGCAAGTAGTGGTGGGTGCTCAATAAATGTTGAATAAACGAACAAATCAACCATCTAGCAAAGCATTTTCGCTAATTTTTGGTCACAGATACAACAGTTCAACTCTTCCCAAATTCCATTACTCCAGGACACAAACTGACTATCCAATCCTCGTTTTGCTGCCCTATTGAAACCTGGGCTTCTGTGAAATAATGGATTCGGTCTGTGCTTCTCAAGGTAGAATGGTACCGACATTCATTCAGTGAGAGGCCCCAGGGAATTTCCCTGTATTGCATGATCGAAAGAACCCACAAAGCTCCCTTTTCTCCGCAGGTTCTGACGTGCTTTTCTGAATCATCTAAGTGCCTCTCCCTAAACCCAGGTCAGGGCACCTTCCATAGTCCTTCTCAAACTCGTCCCCAAATAAAAAGACACACTCTTGAGAAAGTTAAACAATAAGTCAGCTTATTAGTCTGACCCAAAATTTTACAACCACTGCTGGAAGGCTTATACTTGAAAAGCCAGCTCCTGCCCCCTGCAATTTCAGCACGTTCTGTCTTGCTCTGTTCTGAGTGGGATCACGGGAGTGCAACCCTTAAAAGGGCACTCACGTGCCTCAGCTCACCAGGACGAAGCTGGAAAAGCCCTTCCCTGTGCTTCTTCATGCACCACCCAGTCTCAAGAGACTTCTTTCATTACAAACTGCCTGTCTGGAAGGTTTATGATGGCCAGTGGCTTCCAAGTCACTAAAGAATAAGGAAAACGAGGGTGCACTGTTCATTCTGCTCCCAGCTCTCTCCAAGAGGCAGGCACACCTGCTGGCACAGATGCTGGCCTCAGAGAGGCCACTGGCCACTCACCTGCAGCTTGTCCCGCTGCCTCGTGTGGGACATGAGAAGGTCTTCCGTGGACAGCATGCTTCTGGGCAGCTCTGTTGTGGCCAGGGAGGCCCCAAGCGTCTGCAGCATCTGGACAGTGGTCTTCAAGGTCAAGGCAAAGTTTTCAATGGCCTGGAAGGTCAGACAATTATAACAATGTGGAGAGATTAACATTCACCAACATGCTCTCTCGATGGAAAGACAGGTGATAAAATTAGTGAATCATCACCTCACCTTGGAAATGGTATAGAGGACCTGATCCTGATAGGGAGATTTATAAAAAGACCCCAGTCTTAGTCTCAATACTGCCACTAGCTGACCAAATGACTTTGGATTTACACTGAATGTCAATTTACCTGTAAAATAAAGTGATTGAACCACCTGATCTTTAAGATTCCTTTGAGTTCTAACTTTCCGAGTCTCTCGTTCAAAGAGCTGACACCCAGAAAATGCACTGTCACACAGAAAAGAATCTATACATCTCACATATAAAACAATATGTACCGTATATGTGTCATTACTTATTCCTAGTTACATATACAGGCGAACCTCAAAGCTATCATGGGTTTGGCTCTAGGCCACGGGAACAGAGCCAATTACAATACAGTGAGTCACACAACTTCCTGTGTCCCATTGCAGATGGAAGTTGTATTTACACTACAGTCTATTAAGTGTGCAATAGCATTATGTCTAAAAAATGCACATACCTTAATTTTAAAATACTTTATTGTTAAAAAAAAAGCTAACAATCTTCTGGGCCTTCATCAAATCACAATCTTTTTGCTGCTGGAGGGTTGGAGGGTCTTGTCTTATTGTGGATGGCTGCTGAGTGGTGAGGGTGATGTTTGCTGAAGGCTGGAGTGGCAGTGGCAATTTCTTAAAATAATCTTAAAATAAGACAACAACGACGTTGTCACATCAATTGACTTCCTTTCATGAAAGATTTCTCTGTAGCATGCAATACTGATAGCAGTTTGCCCACAATAGAACTTCTTCTGGAGTTAATCCTCTCATACTGACAGCAGTTTGCCCACAATAGAACTTCTTCTGGAGTTAATCCTCTCAAACTGTGCCACTGCTTTATAGACTAAGTTTGTGGAATATTCTAATTCCTTTGTTGTTATTTCAACAACGTCCACAACATCGTCACCAGAAAGATGAAGAAATCACTTTTTTGGCTCATCTGTTAAAAAACAGCTCCTCATTCATTGAAGCTTTATCATGAGGTTGCAGCAATTCAGTTACATCTTCAGACTCCGCTCCCAATTTCAGTTCTCTTCCTGTTTCCACCACCCCTGCAGTTACTTCCCCCACTAAAGTCCTGAAACCCTCAAAGTCATCCATGAGGGTGGGAATCAGCTTCTCTCAAACTCCTATTAATCCAGATATTTTGACTTCCTCCCATGAATCACGAATGATCTTAATGGCATCCAGAATGAGTCCTTTCCAGAAGGTCTGCGATTTGCTCTACTCACACCCATCAGAGGAATCACTATGTATGGCAGGAATAGCTTTACAAAACGTATGACTAAAATCGTAAAACTGAAAGGTGAAATGACTTTGATCCATAAGCTGCAGGGTAGAAGTTGTGTTAGCAGCATGAAGATAACATTCATCTCCTTGTACATCTCCACCAGAGCTCCCAGGTGACCAGGCACATCGCCGATAAGCAGCAATATTCTGGAAAAACCTTTTTGTCTAAGCAGTAGGTCTCAACAGGTTGCTTAAAATATGCAGGAAACCATGCTGTGAAGGGAAGTGCTGCCATCCAGGCTTTGATGTTCTATGTAGAGCACAGGCAGAGACGATGCAGCATCATTCTGAAGGGCCCTAAAATTCTGGGAGTGCTACATGAGCATTGGCTTCCATTTAAGGTCACCAACTGCATTAGCCCCTGTCAAGACAGTCAGCCCGTGCTTTTAAGCTTTGAAGCCAGGCGCTGACTTCTCTTCTCTAGCTATGGAAGTCTTAGGTGGCGTCTTCTTCCAAAAAGGCAGTTTCACTGACATTGAAAATCTGTTGCTGAGTGTAGCCACTTTCATTAATGATGTTAGTTAGATCTTCTGGATAAGTTGATGCGGCTTCTCTATTGGCACCTTCCACTTGTATGTTACAGAGATTCTTTCCTTACACCTCACAAACCAGCCCCTGCTAGCTTCACTTTTTTTTTTTTTTTTTTTTTTTTGAGATGGAGTCAGGCTGGAGTGCAGCGGCGAGATCTTGGCTCACTGCAACCACTACCTCCAGGTTCAAGCAATTCTCCTGCCTCAGCCTCTTGAGTATCTGGGATTACAGGCACACGCCATCACACCTGGCTAATCTTTGTATTTTTAGTAGAGACAGAGTTTCACCATGTTGGTCAGGCTGGTCTCAAACTCCCGACCTCGTGATCCCCGCCTCAGCCTCCCAAAGTGCTGGGATTACAGGCGTGAGCCACTGCGCCCTGCCCGCTTCAAACTTTTCTTCTGCAGCTTCTTCACTCTCTCAACCTTTACAGAATTGAAGAGAGTTAGGGCCTTGCTCTGGATAAAGCTTTGGCTTAAGGAAATTTTGTGGCTGGTTTGATCTTCCATCCAGACCCAGACCACTAAAACTTTCTCTGTATCAGTAAGAAGGTGACTTTGCTTTCTTATCATTCATGTACTCGCTGGAGTAGCATTTTTAATTTCCTTCAAGAATGTTTCCTTTGAATTCACCTCTAAGCTAACTGGCTAGGCTAAGAGGCCTTGCTTTCTGCCTGTCTCAGCTTTTAACATGCCTTTCTCATTAAGCTTAATCGTTTCAACCTTTTGATTTAAAGTGAGAGACAAGCCCTTCTTCCCTTCACCAGAACACTTAGAGGCCATTGTAAGGTAATTAATTGGCCTAATTTCAATATTGTTCTTTCTTTCTTTTTTTAATTGCATTTTAGGTTTTGCGGTACATGTGAAGGACATGCAAGATTGTTGCATAGGTACACACGTGGCAGTGTGATTTGCTGCCTTCCTCCCCTTCACCTATATCTGGCATTTCTCCCCATGCTATCTCTCTCCAACTCCCCACCCACCTCTGTCCCTCCCCTATTTCCCCCCAACTGACCCCAGTGTATGATGCTCCCCTCCCTGTGTCCATGTGTTCTCACTGTTCAACACCCGCCTATGACAGAATATGCGGTGTTTGATTTTCTGCTCTTGTGTCAGTTTGCTGAGAATGATGGTTTCCAGGTTCATCCATGTCCCTACAAAGGACACAAACTCATCATTTTTGATGGCTGCATAATATTCCTTAAGGACCTAGAAATAGAAATTCCATTTGGCCCAGCAATCCCATTACTGGGTATATATCCAAAGGATTATAAATCGTTCTACTATAAGGACACATGCACATGAATGTTCATTGCAGCACTGTTTACAATAGCAAAGACCTGGAACCAACCCAAATATTGTTCTTTCTTAGAGAATAGGAAGGCCCAAGGTGAGGGGGAGAGATGGGTGATGGCCAGTTGGTGGAGCAGTCAGAACACACACAACACATATCCACTAAGTTCACTGTCTCAGATGGGTGCAGTTTTTGGCACCCCAATTCAACAGTAACATCAAAGATTGCTGATCACAGATCACTGTTACAAATACAATAACTGGTTGGGCACAGTGGCTCACGCCTGGAATCTCAGCACTTTGGGAGGCTGAGGCAGGAGGATTACTTGAGGTCAGGAGTTCGAGACCAGCCTGGCCAAAACGGTGAAACCCCCATCTCTATCAAAAATTCCAAAATTACCCAGGCATGGTGTGTGTGCCTGCAATCCCAGCTACTTGGGAGGCTGATGTTGCAGTGAGCCAAGATTGCACCACTGCACTCCAGCCTGGGTGACAGAGCAAGACTCTGTCTCAAAAAAGAAATAAAGAAAAAAACAAATAAAACAATAATAATAAACTTAGAAATATTGCAAGAATTGCCAAAATTTGTCAGAGAGGCATGAAGTGAGCACATCCTGTTAGGAAAATGGTGTTGATAGACTTGTTCAACACAAAGTTACCATAAAATTTCAATTTTTAAAAATTGCAGCATCTGCAAAGCCTACTAATGTGAAGCATAATGAGATATGACTGTAAGTGTGTGTATATAAAACACATACACAGAACATGTAAAAGGCATGTAAAGAGTATCTCTGGTCTATCAGTACTAGCTGTATTTTTAAAAGTTCACTGTAAAATGTTTGGCACAAGCACAACCACAAGCCATGGCTACTAACTAGGCCAGGATGGCCTATAACGAAAACACTTTTGTAAGGTCTTTAAGGCTGGCTGACTGCGCCATGGACCGCATGGTAACCTCTGTGACCTGCGCATACACCTCCAGATGGGTTCCTTAAAATAGAAAGTCTGAAGTAACTGGAAAACCACAAAAAGGAGAAGAATGACTAACCCCTGCAGTGCCTAATTAACTCTGAGACATTCTTCTATTGTTCCCAGTTCCAGCCTCAACTGATAAGGCAAATGGACTTTGTAACCAAACTTGCTCAACTGATAGGTTAACCTTGTGACTCCAGACCCTACGACCCCCTCTCAGCTTGCAAAAACCACCCTGAACTGTAACTTCTTTAACTTTCCACTGCCTACCCCAAACCTATAAAACCAACCTTATCCTACTACCCTCCACTGACTCTCTTTTTGGACTCAGCCCACCTGCACCAAAGTGAATAAACAGCCATGTTGCTCACACGAAGACTGTTTGGAAGGGTCTCTTCATTCAGAGCACGTGAAACGACTTTAACTTGGGTAATGTATAAGCAACAGAAATTGATTTCTCACAGTTCTGGTAGTTGGGAAGTTCAAGATCAAGACCCCAGCAGATTTGGTGTCTGGTGGAGGTCTGCTCCTCATAAAGGATGGCTTCTGTGCCCTCACGGGGGAGAAGGGGTATGACAGCTCCCTTCAACCTGTTGCAAGGGCATCAACTCCATTTATGATGCCACAGCCTTCATGACTTAATATGTCTCAAAAGGCCTCCCTCTAAATGCCATCAAATTGGGTACCAACACGTGAATTTTGAGGGGACACCAGCATTCAAGCCATGACAATGTGTTTTGATCTGTTTCCTCAATATTACTGAAATTTCTAACCCAGCATAACAATCACCAATATCAGTAGCTAAGAAAAAGTAAAATATCATATATCGAGTCCTTTCACAGACAATATATCACTTATTCCCCACATCAAACTTTCGGGAGGCTTTTGTTGGTCCAGGGTTTCTTAGCATTGGCTATTCACATTTTGGGCCAGGTGAGTCTTTGCTGTAGGAGGCTGTCTTGAGCATTGCAAGGTGTTCAGCAGACCCCCTGACCCCTACGCACTAGATACCAGTTATAACTTCCCCTCGACTAAGTGATGACTACAAAATATATCTAAAGATATTGACGAATGTAGGGGGCAGGCAAAATTATCTCCAGGTGAGAAATGTTGTGTCAGTCCCATTTTAACAAAAGAAGAAACAGGCACAGAAATGCTTAGTTACTCACCCGACATCAGACAATATGTCACTGTGACAATTTTTTTTTTTTTGAGATGGAGTCTCACTCTGTTGCCCAGGCTGGGGTGCAATGGCGCGATCTCGGCTCACCGCAACCTCCGCCTCCTGGGTTCAGGCAATCCTCCTGCCTCAGCCTCCTCAGTAGCCGGGACTATATGCACCCACCACCATACCCGGCTAATTTTTTGCATTTTTAGTAGACACGGGATTTCGCCATGTTGACCAGGATGGTTTCGACCTCCTGACTTCATGATCTGCCCACGTCAGCCTCCCAAAGTGCTGGGATTACAGGCATGAGCCACCATGCCCAGCCAATTTTTAAAAATCAATTTCAACTTTCATTTTAGATTCGGGGGTACATGTGCAGGTTTGTTACATGGATACACTGCGTGATGCCAAGGTCTGGGGCACAGCTGACCCTGTCACTCAGGGAGTAAGCATCGCACCCCATAGTTTTACAACCCTTGTCCCCTTCCCACTTTCTCACCTACGGTAGCCCCGAGGGATGACAATATTTAAATATGGTTCTTTTGACTTCATCGATGTCAATATGTCTGCACATTAGAGTCATCTGGGGAGTTTTGTGGCATGTTAACGTCTAAGACCCATACCAGATGAAGTAAATTAATTTCTCTGAAGTATAACAGGGCACTGGTGTTTCTGGAACCTTCCCAGGTGCATTCGAAGGTTAAGTGTCCCCAAACCCCCACCAGGAGATGCAGTGGGTAAGGTGGTCAACAGGAGAAACCCCAGCCTTTGTCCCTTCCACGCTCCTTCTTCCCTAGACTGTGGCTGAGAAATTCCAGCCATCCCAAGGTCAGGCAGTCTCAGGGTGACCTCCCAGCAGCTGATCTCTAACTGCCCCGCCCCATCTTCTGGAAAACAAGGAGAGACAGTGAAAAGTACACATAAGCTGGTACTCACAGTGCGGTGATTTACCCACTGACTGTGGCGATATTCCAAAGTCCCCCCTAATTCCTGGGTCAGTTGGCTTTTGTCGATGTAGCCATGAAGGTCAGAGACCGAGTTTAACAAGATGATCTGTAAGGTAAAAATTTAATTAAATGTATTCCTCATTGATCATTAAATAATAGCTTATTTAGATTCTATTCTTATCATAATTATATTTTATATTCTATTATTATTTAAATGATACCTCAACTTTGCCATATCAGGCATTTATAATTAAAAATGGTTACAGCCAAGCACAGTGGGTCATGCCTGTAATCTCAGCACTTTGGAAAGCTGAGGTGGGAGAATCATTTGAGGCCTGGAGTTTGAGACAAGCCAGAGCAACACAACAAGACTCCCATCACTAGAAAAATTTTAAAAACTAGCCGGGCACGGTAGCCTGCACCTGTGGCCCCAGCTACTGGGGAGGCTGAGGCAGGAGGATTGCTTGAGCCTGCGAGGTTAAGGCTGCAGTGAGCAGTGGTGGCACCATGGTGCTCCAACCTGGGTGACAGAACAAGACCCTACCTCGAAAGAAAAACAAATTACTATATCCAGCAGGGAAATATTTTTAAGTTTCTTTCCAGTTTTCCGTTTTGAATGAGAAATACCCAAGTGTTGTATATCCTGTGATGGAATGTTGGCTTGGCTCAGGGAGCACGGTTCCAGGCTACCTAGAAGCCAGGTCTCGCTTTCTGTGAATTTTTAGTCAAAAGTTCCCAAATTAAGGGACACTCTTCAGCCGCCAAAATCAAGTATTGTGCTATGGCCTGAAAACCTGCCACGAGAAGCCCAATCAAAGGTGGCCGAGTGAATATCGAAATAAAATTAGAACGCAGGGAAACACACAGAGCATGCATTGAAAAGATTCACTACACTGATGCGCCTCCATGAAGCACGTCGATGTGCCCTACATTAGCTTGCACAGCAGGGATCTGGAGGGAACAGGGAGTCGGTTCTATAAACCAGCAATTCAGCCCATGAGTGAACACCCAGAGGGTTGCATCCAGAGGACGCTGACGCTTCCCAAACTGCCCCCTTGCTCTGCATGCAGAAACTCCAGGAAGGTTCTGGCCTCTGCCTCCTACTGCCTCCTGACCAAAGCTGGTGCGTCCCCAGGGGCCCATGTGGTGTGAAGTGAGCCCCACCTGGACTCTGGGACATGTGAATATAATAAACCTCTTCCTTCCAAACCTGGTTTTTCCTGTGGCTCCACCAACTTCACCATACATACATATTCTTAGAACAACTGTTATAAGCTAAAAATGTCTTGCTTTTTTTCCCCTTTTCTGTATATATTTGTGTTCTTATCCATAAATGCTTAAAACTGTTTTTTCAAAGAAATACATGATCTTTTAACTGCACAAGAAGAATTTCCTGTATTCTGACACAAAATCCATTTTAAGTAACCAATTTCCACGATCATAGCCTCTTTAGGGGGTTTGCAAGACTGCCTTGGTGACTTCACATTAACAGTTTTGTGAGGCTGCCACGAGTACGGCTGTTCCAGAATAGGGAAGTGCCTGGCCAGCAACAGGGACTCAGAAAGCGTTTACTGGGAGGCCAAGGTGAGAGGATCACTTGAGCCCAGGAGGTTGAGGCCGCAGTGACGGTGCCACTGCACTCCAGCCTGGGTGATGGAGCAAGACTCTGTCTCAAATAAAACAAAACAAAAACCATTTACTACATCAAAGTACTTCCCCTCCATACGCAAAGGTAGAGGGAGGCTGTCACTTGACTACAGTTACATCCCTGGCCCACCTGATTCCTGTACCAGTCATGCAAAATAAACTCCTTTACTCCCCTACCCGTGAAAATATAATCATCTAACTATAAATGAGCAGGAAGACGTAATAATAAGAGAGGCTAGGAAGCTCCAAAGTAAAGTGCTAATATCACAACCACGTTTTAAAAATAAAGAAGATAAACTGACAATTTGAACTGTCGTTAAGAAGGCAACACATATTTTCAAGATAGATTTCATTGAGTTTGGTAGCTTCACTCTGCCATTCTGGAACATCAGCACCACCAGGGAGCATGATCTTGTGCGTCAGGTGAAATGGTTAACTTACAGGGTAAACCTGCACTCAAGAATGCCCTACTCAGGGTACCCAGGGTTTGGGTGACTGAGAGCCTTTTCAAAAGTTGATTTTGGCCAGGCACAGTGGCTCGTGCCTATAATCCCAGCACTTTGGGAGGCCTAGATGGGCGGATCATGAGGTCAGGAGTTCTAGACCAGCCTAGCCAGCATGGCAAAGCCCCATCCCTACTAAAACTACATAAATTAGCTAGGTGTGGTGGTGTGTGCTTTAATCCCAGCTACTTGGGAGGCTGAGACAGGAGAATCACTTTAACCCAGGGGGCGGAGGTCACAGTGAGCCAAGATTGTGCCATTGCACTCCAGCCTGGGCAACAAGAGCAAAAACTCTGTCTCAAAAGGGAAAAAAAAGTTGATTTTAAGTTTAAAATCAAAAGCAGGACAGGCAGGGAATTAACATACACGACTACAAACAGAAGCAGCTGAAGTCAGAGTATGGAGATAAAGTACATGCGCCCTGTGAAGAGGAGGGCAGAAGTCACAAATGTGTCTGTGTACATATGAGCACTCCTAGATCACATGTAGAATACGTACAAAACACATGCGTTTTAGATGCAATCAGGGAAATACGTATGACATTTGGCCAAATGCTCAGTTCCAACTCCAAATGTTTGTTTTGTTTTGTTTTTTTGAGACGGAGTTTCACTCTTGTTACCCAGGCTGGAGTGCAATGGCACGATCTCGGCTCACCGCAACCTCCGCCTCCTGGGTTCAGGCAATTCTCCTGCCTCAGCCTCCTGAGTAGCTGGGATTACAGGCACGCACCACCATGCCCAGCTAATTTTTTGTATTTTTGGTAGAGACGGGGTTTCACCATGTTGACCAGGATGGTCTCGATCTCTTGATCTCGTGATCCACCCGCCTCGGCCTCCCAAAGTGCTGGGATTACAGGCTTGAGCCACTGCGCCCGGCCTTCCAAATGTTTTTGAGTGGCAAGAAGAATTGATGAGTCTTGATTTCCGAAGGGGAGGCAAACTCATAACGATAACAAGTCACTGGGTGCCTGTCCGTCATCATCTCTTCCCAAACGTCAACTGTTACTGAAGTTAGGAAAAGGAACTCAGGCCTCACATCTTCCTTAAACATGCAAGGATTTCAAAATGAGTATTTACAATAGAATGGGAAATCCATTTTGAGTTCAGCTAATCCCCAAAGTATGAAAGAAAGGATTTTCAGAAATTTGATTATAAATATAAGATGGAACCAAAATAAAATTAAAAGAAAAGAAAGAGAAAAATAAGAAAAATCCCTTGTCTAAGATGGTAAGTCTTCACCGAGATGGGTTATTCTTTCAGAGTATGTATGTATGTATATATGTATGTATGTATGTATGTATGTACGTATGTATTGAGACAAGGTCTTGCTCTGTCGCCCAGGTTGGAGTGCAGTGGTGCAATCTCAGCTCACTGCAGCCTCTGCCTCCTGGGTTCAAGTGATTCTCCTGCCTCAGCCCCCCAAGTAGCTGGGATTACAGGTGCACACCACTATGCCCAACTAATTTTTGTATTTTTAGTAGAGATGGGGTTTTGCCATGTTGGCCAGGCTGGTCTCGAACTCCTGACCTCAGATGATCCACCCACCTTAGCCTCTCAAAGTGTTGGGATTATAGGTGTAAGCCATCACACCCAGCCCCCTTTCAGAGTAATTTTAATTAAAGCTATTTTTTGTTTATTTTGAATAGACAATATTTATAGATAGACTTATTACTATCTAAATAGAAAAATCTTCCCACCTCCCACTTACCCCCAGCCATCTAGGTGGAGATCCAGAAGGCAAACACTTTTAACCAGCTTTTGTGTATCTTGTGTATCCTTCTCAAAATGATCAATGCACAATCATACATACAGACCTCTTATTACCCAAATGGGAACCTGCTGGTGATATGGTTCTCCCCTTGACTTTACCCTCACTTAAATATATATCTTACATGGGCTGAAATTTAAGGTATCAGTATGAACTTGCGATTTCTAGAATATTTGTAATTACAAATATGTACATGTATATGTGCATATACGTGCATATACCTACGGCTTCTGTCTGCTGGAAACCAAGATACCAAGTAGTAACAGCACGCCTTGCATCCAGATCTTGGACTCTAATACTATTCAACACCAAAAGGAACCAGGGCTCTGCAGAGAAATGGTCAGTAACAAAGCTGGATCACAGCATGCAGGAGGCGCCGAGAGGCTCACATCAGGCCAGAACGAAGGAAGCGCTAACAAAAACCATGACAGAGACACGTCACAAGCACACAGGAGTCAGCCTGAGGGGGGTTCCCACTGGCCAAATCTGGGACAGCTGGAGCACCACAATAATTAAGAACAGCAGGGCCAGGTGCGGTGGCTCACCCCTGTAATCCCAGCACTTTGGGAGGCCGAGGCAGGTGGATCACCTGAGGTCAGGAGTTCAAGACCAGCCTGGCCAACATGGTAAAACCCCATCTCCACTAAAAGTACAAAAAACATTTTTCTTTTTTTTGAGACTGAGTTTCACTCTCGCTCCCCAAGTTGGAGTGCAATGGTGTGATTTCGGCTCACCGTAATCTCCACCTCCCGGGTTCAAGCGATTCTCTTTTCAGCCTCCTGAGTAGCTGGGATTATAGGCGTTAACCACCATGCCCAGCTGATTTTGTATTTTTAGTAGAGACGAGTTTCTCCATGTTGGTCAGGCTGGCCTCGAACTCCTGACTTCAGGTGATCTGCCCACCTCAGCCTCCCAAAGTGCTGAGACTACAGGTGTGAGCCACTGAACCCAGCCTGAGACTCAACTTTCTTAAGGAGTAGGATATTTGCATGGTCTTAAAGTGTCTCTGCAAAGATTATTAGTTGCAAAGGAAAGCATCTATTTAATATTTGGGAAAGTGGAAACATTTTGATTTGGGGATCGACATTCACATCACCACAGAGAAGTACCGTGGGCCTCCAGGTGATATGCTTAAGTAGCATAAAAGACAAAGAAAGGGCCGGGTGTGGTGGCTCAAGTCTGTAGTCTCAGCCCTTTGGGGGGCCAAGATGGGCAGATGGCTTGAGCCCAAGAGTTTGAGACCAGCCTGGGCAACATGGTGAAACTCAATCTCTACAAAAAATACAAAAAATAGCCGGCAGGGTGGTGCAGTGGCGCTATCCTGGCTCGTGGCAACCTCCGCCTCCTGAGTTCAAGTGTTTCCCTGCCTCAGCCTCCCGAGTAGCTGGGACTACAGGCGTGCACCACCATGCCCAGCAAATGTTTGTATTTTTAGTAGAGACAGGATTTAAGCATGTTGGCCAGGATGGTCTCAATCTCCTGACCTTGTGATTCTGCCTCAGCCTACCAAAGTGCTGGGATTACAGGTGTGAGCCATCGGGCCTATTTTCTTTTTTTAAGACAGAGTCTCTCTGTCTTCAGTTTCTTACTCTTTCTTCCAAAAGATTACTGTTCCATATCCTGACTGGGTGGTGTTACATGTCTATATACATTTATCAAAATGAATTGAACTCTATCCTTAAAATGTAGGCACATTAGTCATGCAAATTATCTCCATTGAAAAATAAAACATAGATAAGTCTATAGTGATTATATATTACATTTTCTAATATATATTCTTCTTTTTTTATGTTTAGTTGAAACTAATTTCAAACTCACAGAAAAGTTGCAAGAATAAGAATAGCGCAAAGAACATCACATGTCCTCTATCCAGTTTCCTATATTTACGTCACCCCTTTATTTTAAATCTGTGTTTTGTTTCACTCGTACAATTTAGCTTCCTCCCAAGTGTCTTTCTATCATCTCGGATGCCACCTTCAGACTAATTTTACCATGCCACTCCCCACCTAGAAAACCTTCCCTGGATCCCCGCTGTCTACCGAATAAAATCCAAAGTCTGCGTCCCCATACTGAAGACCTACTCCATGTTTCTTATTCTTTCTTCCGAAAGATTACTGTTTTTGAACTCCAACAGAAATGAAGCTTGCCATGGGCCTTAGTAAGGCATGCACCTCCTGCCTCTGTGTCTTCAAACATGCAGGTCCCTCAGCCCAGAAAATCCTTTTCTCCCTCTCTCCCCTTTGAATCTTACCTTTCCCAGAGACCCTGCCCAAATGCCATCTTTGCCAGATGCCCTAACCAAAGGAGGCAAGATGAAAGGTCATGCTTACCGGCACTTTTGTTTTAAATTCGTTTCGATAGTATTTAATGCCAATATCAGTGAATGTCCTCTGGATAAAGCGAGATGGACGAAGGATGAATATGAGCTGTAAGTTTCCTGGAAATGCCACCTGCGAGCATCAATGAAAAGTGTCAGGAAAGACAGAAAACGTCACGTTCATTACCAGGATCTACTTTGGTCTCCCTTTACCCAAGATCACAGAAGGAGAAGCTAAAATGGGTGCCACGGTTGTAAATTTCACCAGATTTCAGGGCTGAAAGAGACCTCAGAGGTCAGATAATCCTAACCCCTCCTGAAAACCCAAAGGAAACCAAGCAAGGAAAAATGTTTTCTGATTATAAAAATAATTCATATGATTTACAGAAAAGTTGAGAAATTAATAAGAGTATATATTAGAAAGTGAAAACTCACTCATGGGTTTTCATTGCTATACTTAGTATTTCCATCTATTTACTTATAGAATGTAAACAGAATGTTTTCTCTGTTTAAATATCTTTCTCATGGTTAAGCTCATACTATTAAAATATTTTGTAATCTGCCTTTTCACTTAATATTAACCATAGGATTTTCTTCCTGTTACTAATACATTCTTTGAAAATATTTTTTTAACCAATCCCTTGTGGTTAATTACTTTGGCTTTTTGATAATTTTGCTATTGTAAGTAATAATGAAATGAACACCTTTAGCCACATCTTGGAATATTTTCTTAGGCTATATTTGTAGAATAATTACTGAATCAAACAGTCAGTGTTTTAAGCATTCTTGATGTATATTATTGCTAAGTTGCTTTCAGAAAGTGTTGCCCTCATCAAAAGGCAAGCTTCTGAGTGATGAGAGAGTCCAGATTCATGAAATTGCTTAGGAGCAAACTTAGGAACCCAGGTCTGCATGGGAATTGCCATAGCTTTCCGTTCTTCCAGTGGTTCCCCAAAGCAACCTCTTACAGGGCTTCCCCCACTTCCCGCCCCACCCCCTCCCCCGCCAAATCAGGTCTTTACTCCAGACTATTTTGATTCATTAGGACTGGGATGAAACCTAGGCATTTTCGTGAGCACTCAAAGAGATTCTGGCAGGTGGCCAGATCTGGGGCTCCCCCCACTGTAGCATGCTTTACATAAGAAGTGAACACTGTAATTCTGGGACACATTAGGGTCAGATATTAGATTACTCATGTATTATGTATGGACCCTGGAAAACCAGAACTCTCTAGAGGCCAGACCTCTGGAACAGTCATGGGCATCAACCATGGCTGCAGTGATCCCAAAGAAATCCTATCTCCAAAACTAAACTAGGGAAGAACAGTCACTGCTGCAGTGGGAGGACTCCCCTCCTCATCTTTCAACGCCAGCTCCTAACTGAAGAACCCTGCGCTGTGTTGTGCCAAGACAGAAGGTCTCAGCTGAGACGGGATCTGTGTGTTTGGACGCGGCTCTAGAGCAACCTGAGAGGGACTTGGTGCGTGTGCGCGTTTGCACGTGTGACTCCTTCCAGAAGCAGGTTTAGGTGAGGCTGGAAATGTCCCACTCGTGTCTGCCTCCTGCTCACGCTCTCCCACTCTACCGCATCCCTCCTCTTTAGCCAGTCCCAACTGCCCCAGAGAGACTACGCTCAGGTAAAAATGCTGACTTAGCTGGTCCTAAGGTGTCTCTGCTTGTGGCGGAGTTCACAAGTCTGAGGTCCCTACAGAGGAAGGACACATCTACTTGTTGAAAGACAAAAAGCAGGGATCAAAATCAGACTATAACGAAAAGGAGGCCAATCCAAGGCGATATAATTTAACGCCGAATGCAAGCACGCCTCCCACCATGCTACTTAAATATCGTTGTGTCTGGTTTTGCCACTGTCCTTCTAATAAGAAGAAATAATTTGGCCAGGCACAGTGGCTCATTCCTGTAATCCCAGCACTTTGGGAGGCCATGGCGGATGGATCACTTGAGGTCAGGAGTTCGAGACTAGCCTGGAGCCAACATGGTGAAACCCAATCTCTAAGAAAAACACAAAAATTAGCTGAAGCGGTAGCGCATGCCTGTAATCCCAGCTACTTGGGAGGCTGAGGCATGAGATTCTCTTGAACCTGGGAGGCGGGGGTTGCAGTGAGCTGAGCTCATGCCACTGTACTCCAGCCTGGGTGACAGAGTAAGACTATGTCTCAATAATAATAAAAATAATTTGAATACTGAAATAAAGACTGTCTTAAATTGAATCGCCCCCAAAGTAAATCCTCAGACAAAGATTTAAGTCCAAGTAGTTTGTTGGGGAAGTGATTCCAGGAAGCATGAATGAGGGAGTGGAGGGAAGACACTGAATAGAGTGCCAGCGTGTCGGTGAGGGGTTACTGCGCAGGCGGAGGGGGCAGAGACCCTCTGGGATACGGTGTGGAACACACCTCAGAACTGCCCCAGTGCAGGTACGGAAGCTGGGGTGTTTATCTACCAAATCCTGTAACTCAATGGTCACAGGTTACCCCCGGGACATTTACTTCCCAGCACTCGCCACCTGCCCCTCTTCAGTGAGCAGAGAAGTCAGTAAGGCAGAGAGCCTTAGGGAGTCTTCGACATGCTCAGACTTGTTTGCAGGTGACCTGCAGATGGCAGAGAAGATAGGGATGTGGCATAACAAAGATCTTCCCAAAATTTGACATAAAATAACTGCCTTGGCCGGGTGCGGTGGCTCAGGCCTGTAATCCCAGCACTTTGGGAGGCCGAGGCGGGAGGACCACCTGAGGTTGGGAGTTTGAGACCAGCCTGACCAACATGGAGAAACCCTGTCTCTACTAAAAATACAAAATGAGCCGGGCATGGTGGTACATGCCTGTAATCCCAGCTACTCTGGAGGCTGAGGCAGGAGACTCGCTTTAACCTGGGAGGTGGAGGTTGCAGTGAGCTGAGCTCATGCCACTGCACCCAGCCTGGGGGATGAGAGCGAAACTCTGTCTCAAAATAATAGTAATCATAACTGCCTTTTCCCCAGGACTTTGATATGAAATAGGTGACCAGACAATTTAAATGACTTTTATAATAATAGCACAAAAAATAAATATTTACAGCTATTCGTGTCAAGGACGCCTTTACGGAGCTCCACGTGTCTCTTCGTCTGTCGATGATAACAACGAATCCAATGCTGGCAGCTTCCACACTGCAAAGAAGGGCGGTCAGTGTCAGAGATCAGGTGTGACCCATAGGCTCCATGTGGCTCCCATAGCAGAATGCGCCCTGCAGCTTCCACAGCACTCCAGGCTCACCTCGTAAACACCCTATACAGCACAATCAACTCCCTCTCCCAGACCGAGCCTGGGAATCTTAACACAAGAGATACTGTCCTCAGACCCTCTCAAGGACTCCCTTTCTGGCTGGCCAATGCATGAAACAGCCAAGGAACACATGTGTTCAAGCCCAAAGGAATATGCACATATCAGCTGAGCCTCACATGTCCCCAGTGTAGGTGGAGGACCTCAAGGCTGAGCTCTGCCATCCTTCCACTCCCAAAGCAGACATTCTCAGAGCTATCAATAGAGTAAAGTGCTCGGCTATCAATCCTGGAGGTGTTGGGAGATAATACATGTCAGCGGGAAAAACGACCCCCATGCAGTGCCTGGCTATAAATAGGCCAATAGACCACATGCTTGAGAAGACATCACTGTCACGAAGAGCAAAAGGATGCTGCTTGGTCCCCTCTCTAGTCCTCGTGAAACTCACAGGATCCTTCTAAAGTAGAATTCTAAAAGTGACAACATTTTTCTTCTCTTCTTTGGGAAGAAGCGTGGTACAGGGGAAAGAGCAAGGGCTTTGGAGCCTGGTTCAACCCCCAGTGTCACCGCTTCCTACCTCTGACACTCAGAGGAGTTCACCTGACTTCTAAAATTCAGTTGTCTGCTCTGTAAAATGAGAACAATATGACCAGTCATGAGACGGTTAAAAGCACCAATTCTGGAACCAACCTGACTAGATTTGAATTCTGAATTCTATTTATATATTGTGTGTGCTTTTAGGGGTCTGAGAGGTAGTTACCTAAACCCCTATACTTTCTTGGACTATTTGTTTGTAAAGCAAAAATTATAAAATAGTACCTATCTATGAGGTCGATGTAAGGACTAAACGTGTGTGTGTGTGTGTGTGTGTGTGTGTGTATATATATATGTAAAATGCTCAGAACAATATATATACACATATATACAAACATTGTTTTGAGCATTTTTTGTACATATATATGCACATGCACACATATACGCACATACATGCACACATATATGCATATGCACATGTATACGCACATACATGCACACATATATGCATATGCACATATGCACACACACATGCACACACATACGTGAGCATCTACATATATGCACATATACACACATGAACACATATGTGCACGTACACATGTATATGTACACATCTATACATACATGCATGTGCACATGCATGTGCATGTAGAAATATGCGCACATATGCACACATGCACATGCAATGCATGTGTATATGCACGTGTATGTACATGTGTGTATGTATATGTACATATATGTGCATGTGTGTATGTGTGCATAATGTACATGTGTGCATATACATGCATATGTAAAATGCTCAGAACAATGCCAGGCACTTGGTAATACTGTTTAAGTACTATTATTCTTTCTTTTCTCCACTTCTATTATTGTGTCTTACATGCTTGTCACAAAGATTAAAAGAGATACAGTATATGAAAAGTGGTTGGCCTACAATAAACCTTCAATAAGTCTCTAATATTGGGTAAAAGGTGGACTTTACCCTAAAAATGTGTGTATATGTGAATGAGGCAGAAGATCTAAGCAAAATCTGCAAGAAAACATAAGTAGCTAATCACAGGTAAGCATCAGTGGGTTAATCGATTCTCACAGCCCCATACTGACCCAAGTTATCTTGCTGGGGAAATTTCCCAGGACAGTGCAAGGAGTGGTCTAACTAGGTGGAAGAGGCTGAGACTGGAGATTATGAATGCAAAGGTAGCCAGGATTTGTAGGGGCAGTTGTTAAACAACCAGTGAAAACAGACATTATCTTCAGAAGAACATCATTAAAAAATAAGGGGCCGGGCACAGTGGCTCACGCCTATAATCCTAGCACTTTGGGAGGCCAAGGCAGCTGGATCATGAGGTCAAGAGATCGAGACCATCCTGGTCAACATGGTGAAACTCCGTCTCTACCAAAAATACAAAAATTAGCTGGGCATGGTGGCGCATGCCTGTAGTCCCAACTACTCGGGAGGCTGAGGCAGGAGAATTGCTTGAACCCTGGAGGCAGAGGTTGCAGTGAGCCAAGATTGTGCCACTGCACTCCAGCCTGGGTAACAAGAGTGAAACTCCGTCTCAAAAAAAAAAAAAAAAAAAAAAAAAAAAAAAAAAAAAGACTGACTTTTCAATACAAACTAGGGAAAATGCCATTCAATGGACTGATATCTTTAAGAAAAAACTCTGTGTAAAATCCCATACCCACTGAAAACTCATTTTAAAAATGAAAGTAAAACAAAGACATTTCCAGACAACTAGAGGTGAGATAATTTACTGTCATTAGACATACACTTCAAGAAATGGAGGTTTAGCTACTGTTTCGAAGACGTTCACTCTTATCAAAAATAAACAAAACACTGGTGGATTTAAAAGGTCTATTTTTCCTTAAATATAAAAGAACTCTGACGACAAATAAACATAAATGAACAAATTCCAGAGAGACTTAAGACCTTCCATAGAGAGCAAATACTAGAGGTGACTTTTATATAAAGTGGTGATTGCCTATTCTGGGAATAGGCAGGCAAATGAATTAATCTGAAGGGAAATAATCCAACATGAGAACTTGAATCTGCAAGAAGGAATGGAGAGTCATGTAAATGTTAAATATGTGGATAAATATTATCAACTGTGTTTTTTATTTCACTGAAACCTAACTAATCAAAGTGAAAATAACAAAGTATTATTATAAAATAAACTATGTCACAACAATAGCATTAAGAATTGAATGGAGTAAGTAAAATTACTTTTACTTACTATTAGCCAGCCACAGTGGCTCACATCTGTAATCCCAGCACCTTAGGAGGCCAAGGCAGGAGGATCACTTGAGCTCAGAAGCTCAAGACCAGCCTGAGCAATGTAGCGAGACAGTATCTCTACTAAAAATTTAAAAAATTAGCTGGGCATGGTGGCGTGTGCCTGTAGTCTCAGCTCCTCAGTAGGTCATTGCAGGAGGATTGCTTGAGCCCAGGAGACAGATTGGGCTCAATTAAAAAAAAAAAAAAGACTATTAAAACTAGTATTGGATGAAATTAAACTATACTATTTATATTGTATAGAAAGTGATATGAAATTAATCCCAGGTAGATGTGCTAATTTAAAAATTAGCACAATTAAAAGAACTAGAGAAGCAAGAGCAATCAAATTCAAAAGATAGCAGAAGACAAGAAAGAACTAAGTTAAGAGCAGAACTGAAGGAGATAGAGACACGAAAAACCCTAAAAAAAAAAAAAAAAAAAATTAATGGATCTTTTTTTCCCAAAAACCAGAAGCTGGTTTTTGGAAAAGATTAACAAAATAGACTGCTAGCCAGATTAATGAAGAAGAAAAGAGAGAAGAATCAAATAGACACAATAAAAAATGATGAAGGTAATAACAAACTGATCCCACAGAAACAGAAACTACCATCAGAGAATGCCATAAACACCTCTACGCAAATAAACTAGAAAATCTAGAAGAAATGGATAAATTCCTGGATGCAAACACCCTCCCAAGACTAAACCAGGAAGAAGTCAAATGCCTGACTAGATCAATAACAAGCTCCGAGACTGAGGCAGTAATTAATAATCTATTACACTAAAAAAAAAAAAAAAAAAAAAAGACCAGGACCAGACAGATTCACAGCCAAATTCTACCAGAGGTACAAAGAGTAGCTGGTACCATTCCTTCTAAAACTGTTCCAAACAACAGAAAAAGAGGGAATCTTCCCTAACTCGTTTTATGAGGCCGGCATCATCCTGATATCAAAACCTGGCAAAGACACACAAAAAAAGACAATTTCAGGCAAATATCCCTGATAAACATTGATGTGAAAATCCTCAATAAAATACTGGCAAACTGAATCAGTAAATGTAATTCATTACATAAACAGAACCAATGACAAAAAAACCACATGATTACCTCAAAAGATACAGAAAAGGCTTTCAATAAAATTCAACCCCCCTTCATACTAAAAACATTCAATAAATTAGGTATTGATGGAACTTAACTCAAAATAATAAGAGCTATTTATGACAAACCCACAGCCGATATCATACTGAATGGAAGCATTTCTTTTGAAAACCAGCACAAGACAAGGATGCCCTCTCTCACCACTCTTATTCAACATAGTACTGGAAGTTCTGGCCATGGCAATCAGGCAAGAGAAAGAAATAAAGTGTATTCGAGTAGGAAGAGAGGAATCAGGTCGGGCGCGGTGGCTCAAGCTTGTAATCCCAGCACTTTGGGAGGCCAAGGCGGGTGGATCACGAGGTCGAGAGATCGAGACCATCCTGGTCAACATGGTGAAACCCCGTCTCTACTAAAAATACAAAAAAAAATTAGCTGGGCATGGTGGCACGTGCCTGTAATCCCAGCTACTCAGGAGGCTGAGGCAGGAGAATTGCCTGAACCCAGGAGGCGGAGGTTGCAGTGAGCCGAGATCGTGCCATTGCACTCCAGCCTGGGTAACAAGAGTGAAACTCCGTCTCAAAGAAAAAAAAAAAAAAAGGAAGAGAGGAATCAAATTGTCTCTTTTTGCAGATGGCATGATTGTATATTTAGAAAATCCCACCATCTCAGCCCAAAAACTCCTTAAGCTGATAAGCAACTTCAGCAAAGTCTCAGGATACAAAATCAATGTGCAAAAATCACAAGCATTCCTATTTACCAATAATAAACAAATAGAGAGCCAAATTATGAGTGAACTCCCATTTGCAATTGCTACAAAGAGAATAAAGTACCTAGGGATATAACTTACAAGGGATGTGAAGGACGTCTTCAAGGAGAACTACCAACCACATCTCAAGGAAATAAGAGAGGACACAAACAGATGGAGAAACATCCCATGCTCATGGATAGGAAGAATCAATATTGTGAAAATGGCCATACTGCCC